GACTATAAGCATTTCGAAAGCTGGTATTACAACGACTCTGCATGCGCGGACGTCCATTCTCGCAGCAGCCAATCCTCAGTAGAGTCCAGTACAAGCTCTTAATTATGCTCGACTCCATATTCATAGGACTATCTCTGTCACCGTCTTTGTATCCATCACGGAGTTGATATGCTAGATTTAGAAGATTTGACGGATGCTCTATAAAAATTGATGTTGGCGTTGATTTAAGTTTTCCAAAGGCCTCATTTTCGAATTTGTTCATTGCTATATGTATTCGATACGCATTAGCTTGCGATTGATGATTGAATTGAGCAACAGCGCCGCTAGCATTATCAGTGAGCCAAAAGTTACATTTTTAGGATCCAAATTATATTCATTAAATGCCTGAAGAATAACGTTTGCAACCTCAAACCCAGTACACTGATCTATATCTTCCATGCTCGCCAACGTCAGTATCGGTTTTTCCTCCCTATTATTCCAGTAAGCAATACAAACTAGAAATATTTTTCTTTCTCCTCTGGTGCTTTCATCCGCCATTACTCCATACGTAAAAAATGAGGATTCTCTATCAACAGCTAAGCTTTTCCAGACAAACAATTTCTTGATTCCAACGCGAGACCGTGTCATTTGAAATCCATTTATCGGGCTCTTTCCTGTTACAAAAGTATATAACTTCCACTGTCGATGAAATCGAAATAACGCCTGTATTACTGAGTTCAGTAACCAATTGGACAAATTGTGGGGAGTACTCTCTTTTATCCGATTTCTGCACCTTTCTTAAATTGTTCTGCTGATATATCTCTTTTTTTTCCGTATTACTGAACGCATTTTCGTATGTATCTAATTTAGAAATATTAAATATATCATTGCAATTATCTGGACTGTTCGGATTGACGCTTCTTGATGTAATATTAAGATTGTTATTGTCTGAACTGTCTACATCGACTGAATTGGCATTTTCCAATGTAATCTTAGATTGCGATTGTCTGCGTCTACATCGATTTCTCCATTACGCCAACTGCACTAGTGTCATTGTCTGTAGTAATGACCCGAAAATATTACTGCTAGTATGTGTCCAGCTTCTTTTTTTTTATTTGACTTTCGGAGGTTTATCTGCAAAAAAAAACTTTTATATGGAAATTTAATATGGGGCTTCCCCTATGTTTGTAACACTGGATATCGTACCCCCCAAATATTATAAACATTTAGAACAATAAAAGTTTTTAGCACTAATACTATTTTCAGATTGATTTCGCTGAATGTAATAATAATCAGTTTATATATCAAACCAGGGAGTTAAGATATCGACGCTAGCGTCAATGAGCCACCGACCCATAATATATACACGCAACAAAAGTGAACCAAATATTACCACCTTTGAAATTTTGGGAAATATTTCTCTCAACTTCAAAACTTATTAGTGGCATATCGGGAGAAACTGGTATCGGTCAAAAAAATGTAGTGATAAACCAAAATCCATCCAAGATTTTAATTGTTTCGAAAATTAATTAATTAGACTCATTCCGCCAATAAATCCTGATAATCAAATTTATCGTTCAATTCTCTTTGCACTTGAGATCATTCAATATGCTACGATTTCTACTAATGATTTATTTAATATACTCTTCAACCACATTCTATTATGAATACGGTCATTATAATGTTAAAAGATTATCACCATTACTAAGTTTTGAATGTATTTTAACTATCGTCATCGCCTCCACCATTAATCCAAGTTAACTTTGTCCTCTGATTACTCAGCGTCCACACATCCGTCTCCTCGTACTCTGCAATACATTGCAACAACTGTTGTTCTGTATATCCCTTGGCGATTGCACGCTCTTTAATATCTACGTATTTCAAATTCCTCAATGGACCTTTCTTCTTACCCTGTCTTGCCATTGATCGAATAAGATTATAAAGTGCCGTAGTCGGTGTCCTGTCGACGTTATGCGCTTCATCATCGCGTTTTTCATACAACGATGATTTTGAGACATCGATCAGGCGTAATGCTTCATCTACATCAGCCTGATCTACAAAGTCTCTTAGCCTTAAGCGAGCAAGAGCTTGCGATAGACGGAGAACGGCGAGGAGAGTGCGCGGGCTAATATGTGTAAATTCTTTCTGACGTAATTCATCTTGTTTCTGCTTTTGTCGCAAGTTGACATATGCATTAACGACATAAGATGTGATA